TCCATCGGGACCAAAACCTCACGCCACAAAAACAGTTTCTTCCCATCCGCTGCTGGCCTCTTCGACAAGGCCAAGGGCTTACACTGACTTGAACATTTTATCTACAAAATGACACCTTGCCATATTTACACTGTTACCCTATTTGTAGTTTTTGTATTTTTAGATTGTATCTTATAGCTACTTTATATTCAATATTTATTCAAAATTTTACATACTTTAGCCCCTTAGTGTTAGTTAGACTTTGTACCTTTAGTATAGTTAGACTTGTATGCCACTTATTTAAGATTTAAGATTCCTATATGTTGAATGTAAATTCCTTGTCTGTGCGATCTTTCATGGCGAATAAAACCCTTTCTGATTAAAACCCTTTCTGATTAAAGTCATGTAAATAGAAAACAATAATACAGAAAAAATGTGTTGATTTTTATTATTTAAATTGTCATTTAATTTAAGTTTTTTCTTTAATGAAACATGTTTTTAATTTACCTGACTTTACCGAAAGAACCAAGAATATTAATTCCTGCAGTCACCACTCGGTTCGCCTCAATCTGCGTGGAGGCTTGGCCCCCACACACAGTGCACACACACACACAGTGTACACACACACACAGTGTACACACACAGTGTACACACACACAGTGTACACACACACACAGTGTACACAGTGTACACACAGTGTACACACACACAGTGTACACACACACAGTGTGTGTGTACACACACACAGTGTACACACACACACTGTGTACACACACACACTGTGTACACACACTGTGTACACACACACACAGTGTACACACAGTGTACACACACATACAGTGTACACACACACTGTGTACACACACACAGTGTACACACACATACAGTGTACACACACACTGTGTACACACACACAGTGTACACACACACAGTTGTTGCTGAGCTCACACACCCAAGGGGTCTCTGATCAAGGGAGAGAGCAATGGAAAATGAATCTAAATCAACTTAAACTCCAACCCTGCTCTGTGACGCCACCACTCAGCATTACCTCATCGGCGTGAAACGCCAGGGGGAGGTGTACCTCGCTAGTGACGTCATGTCACCAAGGTGTTCACCCCACCCCGTCCACCGCGCCCTTGAGCATGACGTCACCTCTGCCTGAGTCACTTCCGTTGTCTGTTCAAGTAGAATCCCTATTTGGGCAAAGCTACTCCCGGTGACTGGCGGCTCATTAACATAATATATTCATGAAAGCCATCGCGAGTTTATTGCGACGAGTTCGGCACCCACGCCCCATCCCTCCACGTATGGTCCAGTCTCATTAACATAATTTATTTGAGTAACAGCCGCTCATTGAGGGAGGGGAGTGTTTTTACCCCGCAAGTGACGTCATGTTAACTCCTGCTGCCGCGTGACGTCACGAAGTAACAGGAAGCTGCTGCTCCGCCTTGCACTGAAATCCGAGGTGAGTAATTCTCATCGCGGTTGTGGTGGTGGTGGTGGTGGTTGTTGTGGTGGTGGTTGTTGTGGTGGTTGTTGTTTACCGAGGTAGAGCCTCGCTCTCTCTCTCGTAGGGATGTCAATTGAGTATCAGCGAGCATGGAAGCGATGTCCAGGTTGTAACTTTACAGCGTGCGGCCTAGCCACGCGGGGCCTTGCCTCCTGCCCTCGCCTGATCGCGTTTGCTTCAATTCTCTCGCTTAAGTTTAATTTGTCTTCACTCGGCTCGCCACTTTGTCACTTTGTTTTACTTTTAAATATTCACGCAGTTTTTATTTCATTCTTTTTTTACCAGGCCAAGCCCGCTTGAGCCGCTGTGCCGCTTTTGTTTTCAGAAGCGACCTGCCCACAACACAAGGTGAGGCTCGTCAACAACGTGGTGGTGTTCACTCTAGACACGTGGCGGTGTTCACTCTAGACGCGTGGCAGTGTTCACTCTAGACGCGTGGCGGTGTTCACTCTAGACACGTGGCGGTGTTCACTCTAGACGCGTGGCGGTGTTCACTCTAGACGGGTGGCGGTGTTCACTCTAGACGGGTGGCGGTGTTCACTCTAGACGCGTGGTGGTGTTCACTCTAGACGTGTGGTGGTGTTCACTCTAGACGGGTGGCGGTGTTCACTCTAGACGGGTGGCGGTGTTCACTCTAGACGCGTGGCGGTGTTCACTCTAGACGCGTGGCGGTGTTCACTCTAGACGCGTGGCAGTGTTCACTCTAGACGGGTGGCGGTGTTCACTCTAGACGCGTGGCGGTGTTCACTCTAGACGCGTGGCGGTGTTCACTTTAGACGGGTGGCGGTGTTCACTCTAGACGCGTGGCGGTGTTCACTCTAGACGCGTGGCAGTGTTCACTCTAGACGCGTGGCGGTGTTCACTCTAGACACGTGGCGGTGTTCACTCTAGACGCGTGGCGGTGTTCACTCTAGACATGTGGCAGTGTTCACTCTAGACATGTGGCGGTGTTCACTCTAGACACGTGGTGGTGTTCACTCTAGACGCGTGGCGGTGTTCACTCTAGACATGTGGCGGTGTTCACTCTAGACGCGTGGCGGTGTTCACTCTAGACGCGTGGCGGTGTTCACTCTAGACGCGTGGCGGTGTTCACTCTAGACGCGTGGCGGTGTTCACTCTAGACGCGTGGCGGTGTTCACTCTAGACGCGTGGCAGTGTTCACTCTAGACGCGTGGCGGTGTTCACTCTAGACGGGTGGCGGTGTTCACTCTAGACGCGTGGTGGTGTTCACTCTAGACGGGTGGCGGTGTTCACTCTAGACGGGTGGCGGTGTTCACTCTAGACGGGTGGCGGTGTTCACTCTAGACGCGTGGCGGTGTTCACTCTAGACGCGTGGCGGTGTTCACTCTAGACGTGTGGCGGTGTTCACTCTAGACGCGTGGCAGTGTTCACTCTAGACATGTGGCGGTGTTCACTCTAGACGCGTGGCGGTGTTCACTCTAGACACGTGGCGGTGTTTACTCTAGACGCGTGGCGGTGTTCACTCTAGACGCGTGGCAGTGTTCACTCTAGACGCGTGGCGGTGTTCACTCTAGACGTGTGGCGGTGTTCACTCTAGACATGTGGTGGTGTTCACTCTAGACGTGTGGTGGTGTTCACTCTAGACGCGTGGCGGTGTTCACTCTAGACGCGTGGCGGTGTTCACTCTAGACGCGTGGCGGTGTTCACTCTAGACGCGTGGCTGTGTTCACTCTAGACGCGTGGCGGTGTTCACTCTAGACGTGTGGCGGTGTTCACTCTAGACGCGTGGCGGTGTTCACTCTAGACGCGTGGCGGTGTTCACTCTACTTGGTGGAGTGAGGAAGCATGAATTCTGAGCAGGTGAAGGTGGCCAGGCGTGGGTCTGGACACACCACCACCTGTGAACCATGCCAGTGTGTGACAGTGGTGGAGCCAGTGGAGGTGGGGTGGCACGTACCCCCCCAAAGGTCCGATTGAAATCCCTAATTTCGATCAGATCATTGGGGTTTATTAGTAACTAGCTTCACTACCCAGCTTCGCCCGGGACTTGGATTCTTGTCTTGGATCAATTTCAAATTTCATATTCCCTTATCTTTGACTGAAAACCCCTGAAAAAATTTGATGCTTGCAAGAAAGAAAAAAGCCGAAACAAATCAAGTTCCCTAAATCGGATGTTTTCACTCAAGGAAATTTAACCTTAATCCACTTCTACGCAAGGTCGATTTTGGCCACGCCGGAAGGGAATGACGTGGCGAGCTGAAAATAGTCGCGTTCACTTAGACATTCCAGACAGCATAAGCTGTGAAATTTTCATGACGCCAGAGCTCAGCGATGGATAGTTTTTGATGCTTCACACAAACAGATGCTATTTCTGCTTTATATTTAATAGCCGTTGTACCCGTTCTTCGCACGGATTTGTATTGGAACTCCGAGAAGCCAATGGCTTCATCGGCCAGGAGCAAAGCGCCACCTAAAATCTCCCGGCACGCTGTTAACAGCTCTAAGCTCTTCAGAGCGCTTAACTCAGGTGTGTTGCGGGTTGACGTCACACACTCCATGGTCATTTCCCCCACCCCCCCCCCCAAAATACAAAAGTCTATTTTTATACTTTTTACATTGTGCACAGTATGGAACTGTTGTATACGGCCCTTTTTCCACAATTAATATCCATGAGAATATTTGCCGATATATACATATAGATTTTTTTCTTTTGTGACAAACCAAAATTAATTAATAAAACAGCCAGGCACACCATAAAGCCAGATGTCGATCATAAACAAGCCATTAAAAAATAATGAAATAAACTCTCGAAGGAGGATGTTAACAGCTATCTGCGAAGATCTCCAGATGAACAAGAGTTTGATGTGCCCCTTTGGAAAGGTCACCCAGCGGCGAGCCTCAGGAGGACAGACGCGAGTTAAACCATTTTTTTATTTTCCTTATTTGCCATTAAAACAACGGTTAAAATTTAAAATACAATAACCAGAATAAGCTAAAATTAGCGATCCTCACGATCACTCCAATTAAGACTAGGTCACCAGATGCATCAGTGAATCCTTATCCAATTATTAGTTCGATATCAAATGATTTTCACCTTGAATACTTTTACTGTTAAAACAAAGCTTGGAGACAGAAATACCGAGTCACATCAAAGGTTATCGAGAAGGAATGAGGCGAACGGGCAAACTTATGAAAGAGTTTAAACAATGTCCCAAGCAACCCCGACCACCTTTGTCTCTCTCGCAGCGCGGGAGAGCAAGAATTTAACACCATAGCGAGAGAATGATTATCAGGGTTGGCCATCTGCAGCGTATGCGCTGGGCTCAAGGAAAACACACCCCACCCTGCTACGCAGGCGGTAAGAATCCCTTAGAAGCTACACTGCCGCCATCCGCGAACAGAGTTTAATTAGAGAAATTTACTATACATGGTGTCACACAAACCTTAATGCTAACGTGATTTATCTTAAATTACAGTATATCTAGGCGTTACATAACCTTACAGAACCAAGGGATATGGATTCCAACAATAAAGAAACGGATCCCTTAAACTCAGGATAAACATCTTTATTATAAAATAAATAATAACTCCATCATAACAATGCGAATCTCGGTAACCCGAGAGGTGTGTCGGGAGGACATAGTTACAAAACACGAGCCTTAGTGAAGATAAGACCAAATGTTATTTGAGAAACATTAAACCGAAAGCAGCCAGAAATAGAGGTACTCCCGACCGCCTTTGTATCTCCCGCAGAGCGCGAGAAAGGAATTTCACGCCAGAGCAAAGAGATCATTATCAGGCCATCTGCACACGCACGTGGGCTCAATAATGGCCCCACCCCACAACCACGCAAGCGAGTTTTAAGTTAAGAGAAATCGCAATACATTTATATGATGATAAGACAGAATGACGAAAATTAATAAACTAAGAGCCAAGATAACGGGGTGGATCAAACTGGTTGAATATAAGATCGAAATGATATTTGAGCGATGTTAACTCAAGATATAGAGAGATAGGAAAGATCCCGGCCACCTTTGTCTCTCCCCACAGCACGTGATAAAATATGCATACGCTCGAAAAAGCATCTTCACTTGGAAATAAAATCAAATACCCCGAATCACAAGCAGAATCATATATGCGTATGGTACGATACGCTGTCAGATGAGAAAGGTTAAACTTTAAAAACTAACAATTTTTTTGTGCATCAGAAACGTGTACAAAGGGGGGGGGGGGGAACCCGCCCCTCCCTCTGGATGGACAGTGTAGACAGACAGACGCCTTTGAGATGAATCGAAGCGTCTGCTCCCTTGATGGTTTATGGCTTGAGGAAGACCCGAACAGAACCTTGTCGTAAATGACACACACACAAACATACACACTGACACACGAACCTCGACCACCACCGACACACAACCAGATCAAAGATAGCTCCGCCTCGTGAGGAGGAGCCTAAGAGGAGAGATTTTGACGTAAAAATGAGCCGTTTCAGCATTGAATTCATCAGCCCGCGGGGCCAGCTCAACAGAACAAAACTCATCTCAACTCATCTCAGCAGAATACCAGCCATCACCGACGCCGCCTCTACAAACTTGCCAAATTGGCGAGTGTCGCCGATTGGCGACACGCTGCCCGCTATTGGCGGTCAGCGCAACCGAGCGAATCGTGAGCCTGTTTCCCTTCAACGTGACTTTACCGAAAGAGCTAAGAATATGAATTACTGCAGTCACGAAAGCTTTAAATCAAAATTTAATGTGTACGAGTAATTGCATTGTTCCAATTAATAACCAACCTTTGTTACCGAGGCTGGGCCCGATTATCATAACGACCTGCATTATCATAACCAAGCCCACTCGCATAAATTAATAAGGTTACCTCTAATTAGTATAATTTATGCACATAATCACCCAAATTAACACAATTTCGGATGAATTATGTAAATTTCACATTTCAATTTTCATTATTTTCTAATTTTCATAACCCACATATACAACAGAACCTACCCACATGCCAAATTTCAAGTGTGTAGCATGTTGGGAAGTATGCTGAACATTTCAAACAGACATAAATTGACAAATTTCCCTTTTATATATATAGATAAATCAGCATTTTGCGACCCCCACTGCCACCGTGTGGCATATTATTACGTGCCAGGGACTCTATGAGAGGACAACAGTCCAAGTCCATAATTGGCAATAAGTAACGGCAAAGCAGTTACAAGCGACTCACAGAATTGTGTGCAGTTGCGTATACAGTACACGACTTCCCTGATGGCAAACACCTTCAGCGAGCGCGATGCCTATCACACGCGTCCAATAAAAAGCATAGGACAAGTCCTTGGTAACAACTCCTTAATAACAGCTCCTTAATAACAACTCCTTACTTAATAACAACTCATATAATGTTTCATTGCTGGAGGGGTTGCTCATGGCTCCACCTCTGAGTGTGTGACAGGGTCAAGTTTGTATTTGCAGTAAAGTCTATTAACTCTATTGAGCGTGGAGGTTATATCAAAACAGTTTATTTTTGTTTTCCTCTGGAACTCTTTGTTTGAATGTAGTCGGGAAGTTATCACAGCACATGTGCAGCTGAAGTCAGAACTGTTCATCCCAGCATTCAAGGACATCTGTGCCTGGCTTCACACCTCTAAGTTGCGATTGAACATTAATTTACACATTTCTGCATAACACAAATAGTATTATTTTCAACACCCTTTGCTATGGCAGCTGAATTTAGCTTTCATAAATATTCCTTTTGAAGCCAGACAGCCGAAATTGTGTGCTCGGAGTTTTGGGTTAACATTCATTTTGAAGATACTAGGGCTTCCAGGCACATTTATGACATTTGCCCTCTCATTGTGTGCCATAACAGCCCTTGTGATGAATTTGGGACACTTTTTCACTATAACATGAATATATGAATAAGTATAGACGTGTTAGCTACGCGTTACTGTGTGTATGCATTCCTCTGTGCATCGAAACTGACGTGTAGATGATGTGGATATTCTTTTTTTCTTTCTGCAGCTGTCGCTTCCTCTGTTGCTTCCTCTGCAGAATTTGTCTGATGGAGCAAAGGCACTCGGCGCGGCTCGGTGCAAAAAGGCAACAATGCGAACAGGGTGCAAACAACACAGATCGTACTGGAAATTTGATACGGCACCAGAGAACTCACACGGGAGAGAAACCTTTCAAGTGCAGTGTGTGTGGGAAGGCCTTTTCACTTTCACAAAATCTTCAAAGACACCAGAGAACACACACGGGAGAGAAACTCTTCAAGTGCAGTGTGTGTGGGAAGGCGTTTGCACATTTATCTACTCTTAAAAAACACCAGAGAACACACACGGGAGAGAAACCCTTCAAGTGCAGTGTGTGTGGGATGGCGTTTTCAGTTTCATATACTCTTGTAACACACCAGAGAACACACACGGGAGAGAAACCCTTCAAGTGCAGTGTGTGTGGGAAGGCGTTTGCGCGTTCATCTGCTCTTACAAAACACCAGAGAACACACACAGGAGAGAAACCCTTCAAGTGCAGTGTGTGTGGGAAGGCGTTTTCACTTTCACCAAATCTTCAAAGACACCAGAGAACACACACGGGAGAGAAACCCTTCAAGTGCAATGTGTGTGGGAAGGCGTTTGCACTTTCATCTACTCTTAAAAAACACCAGAGAACACACACAGGAGAGAAACCCTTCAAGTGCAGTGTGTGTGGAAAGGCATTTTCACAGTCACCACATCTTCAAGGACACCAGAGAACACACACAGGAGAGAAACTCTTTAAGTGCAGTGTGTCTGGGAAGGCGTTTTCAGATTCATCTGCTCTTGTAACACACCAGAGAACACACACAGGAGAGAAACCCTTCAAGTGCAGTGTGTGTGGGAAGGCGTTTTCACGTTCACCAAATCTTCAAAGACACCAGAGAACACACACGGGAGAAAAACCCTTCAAGTGCAGTGTGTGTGGGAAGGCGTTTTCACTTTCACCAAATCTTCAAAGACACCAGAGAACTCACAAGCATCAGAAGATCCACAAGGAGTGGAATCTGAAATCAGCTTGTGAAAGTCAAAGTGCCGGAATGAGCCCATCCCTCATGAAACAAGAACCGGAAGAAAATCCCAGCTTGGACACTTTTAAAGGTATCGAGGTGAAATATGAAGAGGTGAAGGGCAAATGTGAGAAAGTGATGGTGAAGAGTGAAGAAGTGAAGGTCAAATGTGAAGAAGTGATGGTGAAGAGCAAAGAGGTGAAGGTAAAATGTGAAGATGAAGATTCAACTCCAAAATCGGACCTTCACATCGATGGAGGCAACGTGAAGCAGGAGGAGAATTCTGACTGTGAGGCAGAGCGAGGCAACTCCCAGCAGTTTGTGGAAGTGGAGGTGTGGGTGGACTTCCTAGACAATACAAAGTCAAATGGAGACCCGGTAGATGTGTAAGCTTGAGACGATGTTTCTCCAATAGATGCACCTTTGTCACAGGCCTTTAATGACAAGAATGTGAAGTTGAACTCTCAATTCCTAGGTTCAACCAGCAGGGTAAGAGCGGCCAGTCTTTGTGGACCTGTGGGTTGTGTAGATCTCTAACCAGGAGCGAGAACCAATAAGCTCCCAAGCATTCACAAGGTTCTAATAATTCCATTCATATGGTGCTTGCTTAATCGCCTCTGGCAATTCAGAGTTTTGTGTCGTATCTCGTCTCAAACACTCGAAGAGCACCCCCAAGTAGCAGCTGCCCCTGTGTGGCACAAGGTGGTGGCCCTGCACCGGCCTGCATGTGGACAAGAGCCTGTCAGTAGGGGGTGATCATTGACGTGCCATCTCAGTTGTGGAGTTTGTAGGTAATGTTTAGAATTTGATAATTTTTTACCCAGACGCCAGCATGCAATGGCCTACTCGTTTTGAATGGCGCAATAGTATGTTGTACATACACTGTTAAGCGTATTTTTTTAAATAGTTTATTGTTACTGCGATGTAACCTGATGCAGTATATTACACTGCAGTAATTCAATTTTGGTAATATGCCTGTCAATAATTTAGAATTAATACTTGTCTGATTGTGTGCGTACATGTAACATTTTGTCTATAAGGGTCAAATATTGAATAAGTGATGTTAGGACAAAGTGTTTGTTTTGGAAGTAACCTGTACAGACAACTCAGGTGAGACTCATTGTCCTTGTGATACAGGTCAAATGGTATTTTTGTGTTTTCGGGAAGCATCTCCCTCTGGAGCAACTCATTGTCTTTGAAATAGGGAGCACACTCAGATCATTCATTAGTTACAAGGCATACCACTGAAAAGTTACACGTAGAGGAGATACATTCTCTACAACACGAATTATAATTTTTGTATTACGTGTTGACGTAAATTTTGTCTAACTAGGTCTAGAAATGCTCCTTGTTGATTAACGTCTGGATGTTCGAAACTATCGGTTGAAGCAGCCCGGCTGCTTTTGAGACGCTGTGCACCAATAAGAGTCCGCAGGTGGCTTGTACTGAATCAATGATGTACTCTCAGAAGGCTGTGTTAGTTATAGTTTGTGTAAAACATTCCTTTGTTTCGTGGAGAGATCGATAAATGAAAGATGTCGTGTCTGCTGATCTGCTTCATAGCAAGGAAGTAATTTTAAGAGCACATTTGAAATTCATTTTTGGTACAGATTTGTATTCGGTTACAAGGCAGAGCACATCTAGTAGATACATTCTCCACAACAACACTCAATAGATTTTGCATGACGTCTTATATGTTGGTGAACTAGAACAAGAAATGGTCCTTGCTGATTAACGTCTGGATGTTCACAACCAAGGGTTGAAGCAAGCCGGACGGCCTGCGGCGCCACTCGCAACCGGGTAACGCCGGGAAGCACCCGGCGGTACCCTGGCGAAAAAGACAAACATCGACCCACACACACATCGACCCACACACACATCGACCCACACACACACACACATCGACCCACACACACACACATCGACCCACACACACACATCGACCCACACACACACATCGACCCACACACACATCGACCCACACACACATCGACCCACACACACATCGACCCACACACACATCGACCCACACACACATCGACCCACACACACATCGACCCACACACACATCGACCCACACACACATCGACCCACACACACATCGACCCACACACACACATCGACCCACACACACATCGACCCACACACACACATCGACCCACACACACACATCGACCCACACACATCGACCCACACACACACACATCGACCCACACACACACACATCGACCCACACACACACACATCGACCCACACACACATCGACCCACACACACACATCGACCCACACACACACATCGACCCACACACACATCGACCCACACACACATCGACCCACACACACATCGACCCACACACACATCGACCCACACACACATCGACCCACACACACATCGACCCACACACACACACATCGACCCACACACACACACATCGACCCACACACACACACATCGACCCACACACACACACATCGACCCACACACACACACATCGACCCACACACACATCGACCCACACACACATCGACCCACACACACATCGACCCACACACACATCGACCCACACACACACATCGACCCACACACACACACATCGACCCACACACACACACATCGACCCACACACACACACATCGACCCACACACACACACATCGACCCACACACACACATCGACCCACACACACACATCGACCCACACACACATCGACCCACACACACACATCGACCCACACACACACATCGACCCACACACACATCGACCCACACACACATCGACCCACACACACATCGACCCACACACACATCGACCCACACACACACATCGACCCACACACACACATCGACCCACACACACACATCGACCCACACACACACATCGACCCACACACACACATCGACCCACACACACATTGACCCGCACACACATTGACCCGCACACACATCGACCCACACACACATCGACCCACACACACATCGACCCACACACACATCGACCCACACACACATCGACCCACACAACAACAACAACCGCCATTCGCCACTAAGTGGCGGTGACGTCACCACGACGCTTGTGCCAGGCTATGTGCACCCTGAGGCCACGTGAAGTGTCGAACGCCCGCTGGCAGGAGGTCACGGGGCAGACCCAGGTGCCACGGGTCGACTGACTGAGATGACTGGCTGATGCACCACCTACTGTGCCCCCCTACTGTGCCAACCTGCTGTGCTTTAGCCACCCGGCGATCCGCTCGTTGTGAGCGTCGCTCCTCCGCCCTCCGTTGTTGTTGGAGGGCGACTACCTCCAACTGCCCAGTAGCATCCTTCACGAGCCTCCTCCACAGAGGCCGATCTTGACACCGCTGGGACCAGTCATCGGCAAGTCCACTCAGCTCCACGTCCTCCTGTACCACATCGACCCACACACACATCGACCCACACACACATCGACCCACACACACAAACACATCGACTTACACACACAGACATCCACTTTAGACACACATGGAGTTACACACAAATCGACACACACAGCGACTCGCGCACACACATACGTAGACTCTCACATTGACCTAAGCACACGTAGATTTACACACATCGACTAAGAGACACACACATGGACTTACACACAACATGGACCCACGCGCACACATCGACGTACACACACACATGGACTCGCACATACCGGGGTTTCGGGGTACCCGAAGGGCTGGGGTCTCTCTCGCCGGGGCCGCCCTCCATGGTTTAAATCTGCGGACGTTGACCACCGTCTCTCGGCCCCTTTCCCCGCCCTGGATCATCACCGTCCAGGGGGGGGATCTGCCGCACCACAGTCCAGGGTCCGCGCCAGTAGGTGGTCAGCTTCCTCACCTGTCCGGCCCCTACGCGCGGGGTGTGCATTCGAACCTTAGAGCCCGCCGAGTAGAGGGGGGCTCCACACGGGGCTGCATGCCCTGCTCTTGCCGCTGATGTGCGGCCTCCGCCTGTTGGTAGGCCCGGCCACGGGCCCTTCGCAGGGTCCCCATCGGGGTGCTCCACGGGCTGGCTCCCTTCCTCCCTCCCGTTGCGGCGGGGGAACGCCAAACAACGGATCTGCTGGTAGGCGAGACTCACGACCAAACATCATTCGGAACGGGGTCTGTCCCGTAGATGTGTGTGCCGTGGTGGCATCGGGGGAGGTGTTCGTCACAATCCTGTTGATTGGCGGCCGCCATACGTTTGAGCTTCCCGGCTAAGGTCTTGTTTGTACGCTCCACCATTTGCCTGGGGGTGGTATGCCGTAGTGTGGTCCTTCTGGATTCCGAACTCCCGGCACAGCGCCTGCAACAGCTCTGTCTCGAACGCACTACCCTGGTCAGTAATGACTCGTTCGGGGATCCCATGTTTAAGTACGTAATGTTCCACAAATGCCCGGGTGACCACAAGGGCAGTTTTATCTGGGATGGCCACTGGGTAGCGCGTGAAATACTCCACCGCCACGAGGATGTACCGGTCGCCTCGGTGGGATTGTGGGAATGGCCCCTGCAGGTCGATCCCAACTAGCTGGTCCGCCCGGCTGACACGGATCGGACTCGGAGGCACCTGATACCGCACCGATTTCTGCCCACACTGCTGACAAGCGCGGCAGCACTGCACCCAGGCGGCCACGCCTTGTGCCAGTTTGGGCCAGAGATACTGGCGACGCAGGGTCTCCCGAGTGCGCCGTTCCCCGTCATGGCCCCCGAGCGGGTGGTCGTGCACCAGCCGGGGCCGCACCTGGGCGGGGACACAGATGCACCCCGGCTGCCCGGCTTCGGTTAGCACCCTGTTCTCTACACGCAACCGGGCGTACAAACCGCTCCAGGGTCCCTGCAGGGCGACCTTTTCCTCCCGCAGGCCCGCCGGGGGCCCGTCCCGGCTGCTCGTCGTCCAGGCCCGGCAACGCACAGCCGACGTCCTCTTGGATCCGACCGGGCGGGGCCGGAGCGGCCCGTCGGGGTCCCTG